ACACCTAAAAACACTTGCAGTTGTATCTTTTAGAGCACTTTTTTTCCTCTCAAATATGTACATTTTCATGAAAACAACTAGCTAATACGTATTTAGTGCCTATTACTCCCAGACAAGTTCCTAAGAATTTTACCAATATGAACTTAAACACTGAGAGGTTAATTTGCTCCAAATCATGTAGCTATTAAATGGCAGAGACAACACTCAAATATTTATTTTCTAGTTATTTTTTAGTATCAGGGATGCATTATTTATAACATCAAAAATTCATTTGTGCACAATTAAAATGATGTCCCTAAGGTACTAACCAAATATTTTAGCTTCTTCATTTCAATGTTCCATTTCTCTTTTATTCCCTATAACACAATACCAACCAATAAAAATTGATATGAGTACTACTAAAAATTATGTCAATTGTTTCTATGTTACCTATAGTTTTATATAGTGTCTTTTCCTTTTTGGTTATTCCCAAAAGTTCTGAAAACATAATTTAATAAAATGTGCTATAAAGTAAAATGCATTATCATCTCATGTAGTGTAATTGCTAAGTTCTAAAATACCTGAGGCATCTATAATAAAAACACGATTACATGGCTTATAAGCCAAAAGTATTTTTTAATTGTATTTTGGATTATCACCTTGATAAAGAATATGTTCTCACTGATACTTAACTAACTAAATGTATTTTATTTAATCTTATTTAGTAATTCTCAACCCATAAATAGCATGTAAGATGTCACTACAGCCAAAATGTTCCTCAAACATGTCTTCTAACTGTATTATAATAATATCTAAAATGTTATACTAAAGATATCCATTTCTGTTCTTTTTGGTTTTCTGACAAATTTCACTTTAGAAGTTTTATTTTTCAAAAGAAAAAATTCCAACAGATTGCAAGCAAGAAATATTTATTAAATATAAGTATTAAATAATTGAACAAAACAATTCAATATAGCCACATTATTATTATATTCCAATTATAGGTTCTAAAAGCATAACTTTTTTAAAAACACACACTGCTGGGTTCTAAATCTGAAACTGCAAATCAAATACAGAATTTCGAGCCACGTGTGGTGGCTCACACCTGTAGTACCAGCACCCGGGAGGCTGAGGCAGGAGAATCATTGCAAGTTTGAGACTAGCCTGAGTAACAAAGTGAGTTCAAGGCCAGTCTGAAATGCATAGTGAGACCCTGTCTCAAAAAGACAAAAAAAAAAAAAAAATACAGAATTCTGTATTTAATGATGTGATGATTCTACATTCATCAATGACACTAACATGCAACACGAGAAGTGACACTTGGATTTCAATCAAATAAAATTTCAAAATCAATTTTAGATATTCTATTTTTCCATTTGAGAGTGAAGGTAAAACCTTACACATGTTCCATTTGAGAGTGAAGGTGAAACCTTACACAAGTTCAAAGGAACAACTGCTTGTGCATCAATTGTTCTACCATGGTCTGAGTGACAGGAATGAAGGGTAACCTTATAAATGCTAACCGTTGTGCTGTAGTTTCTAAAAAGATGTGTGAGAACTTATGCTCCCAGACTGAGATATGCTTCTACTGATAAAAGAAAAGCCTATGGGTAAGGCAGACTGAATAGCACAAGTGGCAGCAGAGTCAAAAATAAAAGAAATGGATGCTGTCACATGATGTGATAAAGCATTTCCAATCACAGCATTATAAGGGTGCTAGTACCAAACCTAGAAATCCTTATAAACACTGAAAGTTGTTTAGAAACAAAGTTTTGCAAATTTAATTTTGATGCATTTATTCTAAGTAGAAAAATGGAAAATGGAAGTTTCCTGACACATGCAGTGGCAGTTAGATCACATAGCTCCTGCCAAATTTATCTTTAAAAATGAACAATTTATAAGATTTTGTTCTATAGGTTATTTCATCTCAATGCAGAAAGTTAGATAAGCAGACATTAACATAAGAATACTTGTGCAGAGCTCCCTGTTTGCTCTTCCATAGATAACAGTATAATGTGGTTCACTTTCAAAGGAAAACATTTTAAAATGTTTTGATGGTGAAAAAGTAGTTAAAAAATTTTTGTTTTCAGTAGAGACAATAACACAGGTATTTCCTCTTTCTTCCAGTTGGGCAGCCTTTGTTAAATAGCGTAAGTTTTTCATTTAGTCACAAAGGCACAAAGTCAAACAAGTGTCTCTTTAATTAAATTTTTGAATTTTTAATGTACTTTATGATCCTTGAAAAATGCTTCAATAATTAACTTACTTCTCCTAAGAAAGACTGTTTAGTACTCAATTGCAAGTTATTAGGTAACTACAATAGGATATGGAACAATTTCAGAGGAAGTATTCAGCTTTTCTGAAGCCAGTAGTTTACCAAAAGATACAGATTTAGCTGGCTTTACCTAGGAGGCATTAAATGAGTGCCTTTTTTCAAATTCTGAGATGCAAGAGAGAAACTATATCCTCAAGGTCATTACAATGACCAATAGATAAAGATATCTCTAAAGAGAGATACTAAGGGCCTAAGTTCAAAATGATCTGTATTAAAATTCCCAGCATGTACCCTAAAATAAAGAGACCACAGATCACAGTTCAAGTGCTTGGGGTCTCAAATCTGACTCAGCTTCAATTTATACGACTATCTTGGGAATTAGTTGCATAATTTCAAGTAATTGACTTAGAAATGCTATACTACTTCTTTACCCTGTCCGTGTTCTAGATTTAAAGTTTGTCTCTAAGAGACAATTCCTTTTGTAACCACTAAAAGAATCAGAAATTGTTTTGCTCTTACCCTGAGGAAAATCTCATTTACCTGGGCAGGAGTTGATGCAATTGATTTTCCAAAGCTGAATCCTGTAGTCTATATAGCTGGAGTTGGATTATTGAATGACAATAGACTGATGTATTTGCAGCTGGTTGGGTTGGAATCCCCAAATTACACTCAGCTACAGCAGATAGAGGAAAAGTAACATTATAATAGTGGTGGTTGTCTTTGCAGAGTCAAATATGAACTCAGCTGCAGGGGTATCAGTTCTTCCAAAATTAAACCTATTACTGACTCTAACTCTAAAAGGGTGCAAAAAGGGAATGGAAGAAAAAAATCAGACCTCAACAAAACCTCCTTATGAATATAATGAATAGAAGCCACATCAGAATCATCCTCGGCCATGCTCCCAACTTCTAGAAATACTAGTTAAGATCATTTAATAAAAACAATTTTTAGAAATACAAACCAAAATTTTTCCAAAAGTAAGACAATCATCCAAGTGTTAAGCAGAGAAGGAATTCTTATTTATGAGAAGAAACTAAAGTTGAATAGCCATGACCTAAATGAGGTATGTACCTCAATAGATTGAAGTAGACTGAGCTGAGTACGATTTGATGCCACAAAGTACAGGCTCTTCAATTGGTGAAGACTTAGTGAAACTTCAATCTGGGAAATATCTACAGGAGGGTAGAAAAGATAGGGAGACATATGGAAACTCCAAGTTGGCACAGAAAATATTCATGGAAGGCCTGAATTCAACCTACCTTTGTGGTATTGAAAGATCTAGTTAAAATGTAAACACAAAACTGGTTAGGAATTGAAATTTTCTTTCATGGTCCAGATGTCCCATGATAGCACTCAACAGGAATATCTCTTCTTCCTACGTCACATGTTGTCAATAAAATGCCTCGGAAGTTTAACCCATAGACAAGAATTACAAAACAGTTAAATAAGTCATCTATATACACCAAAAACGAGAGAACACTCTTCCAAGGAATTAGAAATAATGCAGTAATGTGAATGGCTCATTCAAATATATGTTTGCTATGTTCAAAAGATTCAAGAAAGAAATAGCACTCATAAAACAAACAAATAGCACTCATAAAAAACATAAATCCCCAGCACTGAAAAAACAGTGTTCACTGTGAACTCTCCACATACATTACCTTATCAAATATAACTTAAAGTGCTTTGGGAAAAGCTTTCCAAAACCAAGAAGGAATCAAGAAATGGATGTCAGTATTAGAAATAAAAAAGTTGGAAATGGCTTTACAAAATAGATAAGACAAATCCAATCTCACAGTTTTTAATGAGTACATTTAACTTATTTATGTGAATTGTAACTGATACAGTTTTATTTTTCCTTCCATGTTTGTATTTTTCTTTTGCCATGCTCTATCCATCTTTTCCTTTTTTTTTTTTTTTTTTTTTTTTAACAAGGGATTGAACTCTTGACGCGCGCTTGTCAGGCAGGTGTTTACACCATCGCCATGGAGCTAAATCCCAGGCCCAATGATAGATACACACATTACAGTACTTTTTTTTGTTTTGTTTTGGTACCACGAATCAAACTCACGATCTCGCGGTTTCCAGGCAGGTGCTTACACCGTTGAGCTAAATCCCTGGCTATACATCTTTTTTTTTTTTTTTTTTTTTTTTTTTTGTAATATATTTTGGTTCATGGATTTTTTTTTATTCTTTTATTTTTTCCCAGGTTTGGAAATTAAAATACTCTGTTTACTTGTATATTCTATTTACCACCTAGTTGTCCAATATAAAAGATCTTACTAAATTAATTTAAATAACCGGAAAGTAAGAAAACAATTCAACAAGTGCTGATGCTTACCAACTGTTGTAGTCTCTTAAATGCATGAGTACCTCAATTCCTTCACTCCTAAAATTCTGGTAGTTCCATTAAGTGAGTAACAAAAGTATTTTCAAAAATAAATTCACCTGAGGCTGGGGATACGGCTCAGAGCCAGAAAGCCTGCTCAGCATGTGTAGGATCTTGGATTAAATCCACAGCACTGTAAAAACAGTGTTCACTACAAACTCTCCACATACATTACCTTATCAAATAAACTTAAAGTGCTTTGGGAAAAGCTTTCTAAAATATAATGACGATTTTATCCTCCCTGTCAGTGAAGGATCAGCAAATCAAGGATAATTATGGTGCTCTCCAAATGGCCCAGAGAGTGAGAATTAAGTTAGATTTCAAATAACAGTTCCAAAGAAATTACTATACATTTACCTCATTTATCAGCATCCAAACTGCTTCCATTGTGTACTACCGCCTGTTATTTACTGATCCTGGGAGTGTCTTGGGCAGTAGGTACCCTGATCTAGGATCAATAAATAAAATGAAGTAGATCATTTCAGATTATATCACTTTACCACTCAAGTTCTTAAATTTCTTATGCAATACAAAGGAAAGATAGTTATTACACCTGAAATTCTTTATTTTTAATGGTCCAATAACAAAGAAAAGATTTTGATCTCCATTCTATAGCTCAGGATATTGAAACTCTTTAGACACTAACTATCTTTCCTAAGGCCAACCTACTAATACATAAAGAAATGGGGTACAGTAATCTTATTTCAGTATTATCTTCAGCAACACATTTTCTGTTGTATCTTCAAAGGCAAAAACAGGATAAGTTCGAGTCTAGGTATACTTTATAAGCAATTTCAGCCTAAATGTGTAAAACTTCTGTTTCACAAAGTACAAATGATGTTTTCTAATCATTCATATCATTTCTTTACATTTCTCTGAGAAATGGCTGTCAAGAGATAACTGACATAGAAGCGCAATCATACAATTTATTAAAAATTATTCCTCTTTTCTTGGAAGCAGACTATTATTCCTTAGAAACAACACTTTCTTTAAACTTCCTAGTTACTTGACAACCATCAAATTCCACAAATACACTCTACCTTCTCAAGAACATCATGACTAAGAAATGTGCCCTGATAAGTCACAAAATGTAGTCATTTTATAAAATCATTCCTATAAATAACAATCTCTGACAATACACATGGTTCTTTAGCATATTGTTGATTAGAGAGGTAGAGAAGCAAAAGAAATGTACAAATTCACTGAAGTAATCAGCAAGATATGTCTTTCAGAAAAAGTAGTGAAGAAGAAAATAGGAATGATCTAAGCCTCACAGCACAGTAAAGACTTCAGTTGCTGCTAAAATTTTGGATGCTAGTTCAAAAAAATAAAAACTGGGTTATTAATGTTTTATCCTAAATGCTTCACTAGAGACAAATGGATAGGGAGAGATGAAATGTGCACAGAGATCTTATTTGTTAAACATTACTTTGTCATTAGTATGTATTTGTTGTACATGTTGGTCACATTCACCAAAGGGAATTTTTACCTGTACGCAATATATCTTAATTCTGCTTTTTTCCCATTTCCCTGTTTTCAACATTTCTTCTCCTCTCCATTTATATACACAAGCTTTGTTTCCATTTTTTGCTTCCATTCTTTTTTTTTCCTAGTCCCTTCCTTTCCTTCCACTGCTCCCCCTCTGTTACCTTTCCGATCAGAATATGTTCTTCCTACTTTCCAATATGTATGCTCCATTATGATCCTGATTTGCCCTTCGGGTTTCTCACACAAGAGAGATTTTTAATGCAATATTTATTGTGATATTTAAACTTGTGTGTTTGGTTGTGCACAGAGATTTTGAAGAAAACATGAGAAAGTCAACTTATAACGATGAACATCTTATTTGATGTGAAAATAAAATGCACGGTTTCTGAAAATGGTATTGTGTTTTGAGTTAAGTGTTAAGCACCTAAAGCTGTCAAAATGTACTAATTATCTTTCACATTAGGTCATTCTCCCCCTTCATACTATAACTTCTCTCAAAAGTATAAAGTCATAATCTGACCTGAAGAAATACAAAAAGTTTTTTAAATTCCCCAAACTGAAATCAATTCTCCAAATGCCACAAATGTGGGACTGTGCTATAGCTCAGTGGTAGAGTGTTTGCCTAGTATGTGTCAGCCCTGAGTTCAATTCCAGCACCACAAAAAGGAAGTATATTTCACAAGACTGTAAATTGCTATAGTGTACATCTCACTTTTAGTGAATTATGCTAGCAGTTAGAAAATGTGAAAAAGAAAGACCAGGATGAGACCCAAGGGCAGGAGGGCAGAAGACTCAAAAGAGATCTTTGGGGGGGGGGGGTTACTGGGGATCGAACTCACAAACTCATGCTTGCCAAGCAGGGGCTTATGTCCACTAATCTAAATCCCCAGCCCATCAAGAGAGACCTTGGAGGTGTTAAACTGAAGAAATGCAAGGTTGAGGACCTGTTCTGGGGTTGGTGGGATCTTGAAGAGCTGTGTGGGCAGAGCATATGGGACGCTATTACACTATAATCGCTTGCCTGTGACTGGAACAAAATATCGCATACCCACACCCACAGCTTAAAGGAAAAGTGGTTTATTTGGCTTATGATTTGTTCCAGTTAACTGACTTCAAGGCAGAAAAGGCATGGCAGAGGGCATAGTGGAGGGAAGCTACTCAACTCATGGAAGCCAGATAACAGAGAGAGAAGGTGGGAGCCAGAAGAAAGATACACTCTCCAAAGGTATGCCTCCAATAACATACCTCTTCCAATCATACCCCACATCCTAAGAGCACATTCAGCTATGAACTCATCAATGGGCTAATCCACTAATGACTATAACACCCCTGTGATCCAATTACCTTCCAAAAGCCAACTTTTGGAGGTCATTCCAGATCTAACCATGGCAAAGAAAAAAGAACAGAGATAACAAGAGCTAGAAGACAAAGAAAGAAGTAAAACATTTGAAAGAACTAGTCAAGGAAATAAGGAGGAAAGACAGATATAAAAGATAGCTTCAAAGATATATCCATGTTTAGAAGAATTGTGCTCAAAATTATGGTGAAATACAGCAAAAATAGTTAACTAATTTTTTGAAACCTGGGTAAGTCTTACACAAGGTGTGGGTAAAAGCCTTTTACATATATACAAGTAAGCCTACTTGTTAGTAAAAGAGCTCATAAACTATTATCTTACAAGGAAAAACAGATCTGGTTAATATAAAGGTGCCTTTTTTTTTTTTTTTTTTTTTTTTTTTTTGTAACTAAGGATCGAACTCACAGCACAAATATCTGCTGAGCTAAATCTCCGGCCCTCTATAAAGGCTGTTTTTTGGAGTCAGGGTCTCATTATGCAGTTCAAGCTGGACTTGAAATTACTTTGTAGCCTAGTCTAGTCTCAAATTCACAACAATCCTCTTGCTTCAGCCTCCTGAGTGCTAGGACTACAGGCTTGGGCCATCATGCCTGGTGTATAAAGGCTTTTTAAAAAAGTAATATTTCTTCATTTTTTCAAGGCCATTGTCTCAAAAAATAAGTCAATTAACTATGTGCTTCTAAAAAATAAGTATATTTCTTGTTTGTATTTTTATTTTTATTATGATTAAATATGAATAAAAAATATCAATTTGATCATTGTTAAATGTAAATTCATTGACATTAAATACATCCTCAATGTTGTCCAACTTTCACCATTATTTACAAAACTTTTTCATTATCTCAAACATAAACTATGTAACTCTTGAACACTAACACCCTATTCTTCTCTCAGTCCTTGGTAACTTCTCTACTGTCTTTATGAATTTTTTTATTCTAGGTACCTTGTGCAACCAGAATCCTAAGACATTTATATGATTTGTATGAATATCTATATACCTGATACAATCAACATGTCCAACATGATAGGGGAATGAAGATTTTAAAAATGGTATAATAATAAAATGAAATACTACACAACAATAAAAATAACCAGGTACATTTTTAAAATTTCAGAAACAATTCTGGCTATAAAAGGTTGTGTAAGAATAAGTGCAATATATTATTTATGTTGAAAACACAACAAAACTATATTACAAATAATTTATGGCCACATTTCAGTGAATTTACAAACATTGGAAAAATATTTACCAACTTCAGAAAAACAATTATTTCTGGGATGGGAGGGAATTGAGACTACTTAGAGTTTTAGACTAGTAAGTATGCTTGGAAGTAGAAAATAATATAGATCAATTATAGTTTTATTCTTTTAGTTAATTTACTTAACTGCTTCATAAAATTTTAAATTAAAAATTAATGTACATATAATCTTTGGAAAATATTCTTTAGAAAGCTAATCAGGGTGAGTATTATCTGCTATTATCTGCTGTGATTGATATATTTCTAGAAGTAAATAATTTGAAAATGTCTATACTTATTAGTAAAAAAATTATATTTACCCTTACTATAAATATAAAGCAAACCACAGTGGATTACTGATGTTCTAGCATACAAAAACTCTACGGCCAAGTCCAAACATCTAAAGATGGCAAAAACATCCACTCAGGGGATAGATCCCTCACTTTCCTGTTAGGTTTCCTATTAAGTCCAATAAGATGGAAGACAAAAGTTGTATAAATGATTTTAGCTAAAGAAATCTTTACTTAATATATAATATGGAAAAAACTAGAAATAATTCTGTTACTGGTTTAAAGGTTACTAGGTTAAGTAAATGACACCAACCTATTCTGTGAAATATTAGTCCAATATTAATGCAAGCTCAAAAGATTATCAAATAGAAAATTTCCTAGAACAGTATTAAATAAAAAGAAAGACAATGAAATCCTGTGTAAACAACGATGACAATCATGGAAATATGAGTATATGTGTATAAAAACAGGAAGGGACTGGAAGAGCCAATTATTATAGTAGGGAAATGCATAACTTTTTTTCCTCTTTAACTTTTTTCTATATCAGTTTAATAAATTACTTAACCAGTGTTTTAAGTGTTTCTCCATATAATATAAAAGGTTTCACTAAGCAATATCCTTTTTTCATAGCTATATACCTACAGAAACTTTTGAGTGTATTTTTTAATCTTTTCGATTTCTCAAGTTTCATTACTTTAAAAATAACTAGCAATCAAATTTGGTCACCTTGTTCTAGGCTAAACAAGGCAGGGAAGTTCTCTTTATTCCAACTTCTGCCTCTACCTTTGATCTACTATCAAGACACAATGGACAAGAACAGTGACTTACGTAAGTTCTACTCTCTGAGATCCACTCACTGACAGCATGACCCACATAAAGTCTCTGACCTCTCTAGTCCTTATGTTCTTCAACCTCTAACTTTCTGTATTCAGGACATTCTCCATACAAGACAACTACTTAAATATTCATTTTAGATCCTGAACCCATTCCCTATCTCCCTACCTCCTCAACCTGGGGAAACACATACATGCTTCCAGGGCAAGCCAAACCCTGAAGAGCAGGTTACATCCTTAAAGATAAATGTGTTCCCCAGAATGAAAGTAATTATTTTTTGAACACTCATGTAATGACACTGCACAAAGCACTTGTTTTATGTGATACAGTTATCACACACACCTCTCCTTCACCCCAGAATGGATTTCGAGAGTAAATCAAGACAATCTGTGTTTTTTATGAATTATTTAAGTACATAAAAAATTTGAAAGAGGTCTAATGACAATGTCTTTCAAACTGTAAATGATAATTCATTAGTAGGCTGTGGTATACATTTTAAATGTAATAGAAAGTGTCACAGTACATTGCATGTAGTAAGAAATATTTTTTCAAAACACTTGTCAGTTATGTATGTGTCTGCTGGCATTACAATATAAAATGTATTTCTTCTGTTAATCACTGCCAGAAGATCTACAAAACACTGGCTGGTTATTTGTAGTTAGACTAATGCACAGGGACTCAAATAAAAACAATTAACAAAATGCAAGACACTTTAACTGTGATCATCCACAGTAATTAGAATTATGGTGTAGGTAATTTGGTCAAAAAGTCAGTAACTTTAGCCAATAATGTAAATATTCCCTCATTTTTTGTTTACTTAGGATATTGAAAATTATTTCATGCTCCACTATCGCCTCTACAAGATGAGAAGTAAAGAAAAATGAGAGTAGGAAAGCAAATTTGTTCATTCGTAATCGAATTCCAATCCCTACATAACTGAAAGTAACCCTTAAAGCCATCCTATCTTTCCTCATTTGAAATATTCAAATAATGCTGGTAGGGTCCTACTGTTAATCACAGCTAATCAGTTCCAATCTCCACATAATTATTGTTCCCACCCTCCTCTTTGTTTAAAACCACACCACGCAATTTATTGGAAACTAAGGTCCCAACTCCATCCCTACGTGAAGACACACAAATTCCCAAGCAGTGGCAAGCAGGCGGCATGCCTTTGATTCTGCTCTAAGGCGGGGAAAAGCCGACTATCAGTCTTGTGATTCTCCCGGGATTAAGAGTAACCAGAAGGTCAGGCGAGGGCAGCATAGGAGCCCCTGGGCAAGCAACCTGGCGCTTCCTCTGGTGCCTCAAGCCAGGAAGGCTTGCCCAAGCAGAAAACTAAAAGTAGGCTCTCACTGTACTCACTGTACTTAGGCACGACACAGCCACACAACCACCACCCCCACCCCCCACCCCCCCCCACACACATTACGCTACACTGCCTAGACTGAAGAATAACTCTCTGTCAGAGGGAGGGGGACGCGGAGAGAGAGTGCAGAGCTGTGGCAAATCCTTCTGAAGCCCTGGACACTTTACCCTTCGCTTCCGCCCTCTGCTGCTCCAAGTCTGATGGAAACAGTCCTTAGATCTACAGTTAACTATGAAAAAAATCATAACGGAGACTGAAACCTGCCAACAACTGAGAATTAAAAAAAAAAAACCAATTAACTTTTAAAAAACACTGCATGCAAACTTACACTGTCGGACTGGCAAAGTAAATGGGCAGGTTTCCGAGATTTCGTAGCCAACAAAGTGGCAGATCAGACCTCCTGGAGCCTGAAAGAAGTGTCCTCTCAGAAGAACAGCTAACCCCGACCGAGGCTTAAATGGGGTCGACCTACTTAACTAGAAAGGGCAGCCATTGACCCTGACCTGGACGCATCTGGATTGGTTGATACGGATAGTGTTCCGAAGCAGACTTTTCAATGATTGGCTAGGAAAGTCAAGCGGGAACTCAGAGGTGGGGTTGGGGGAGGGTAATAAAGTTGTTACCCAGGCGACAGAGAGACACAGAGCTCTCCTCAATCTATTTTCGGAGTCTTAGCCGCCAAGCCGAAAACTGACCACCAAGGTGAGAAAACTGAAACCTCAGGACGGGGAGAGAACGGGGAGAGATTTCTTGTCTGTTAGAGAAACTGTTGAGAACTCTAGGCACTTAAGACCCTGAGGGAGACTACTAAAAAACTTGAGGAACACCAAGAGAACATTTCCCTCAGTCTTTCAGGACTCTGCGTTAACAAAACTCACACTCTCAGAATATAAGTGAGAGATGGGATGATTATAGCAAACAAGGAATGGGTGCTGATTGACTAGTGCTGAAGATAACTAGACTTCTTAACTCTCTCTCACACGCTTTAACAGTCCTTTTCCCGATTAAAAATGACCAGCCTGATAATGTGAATCATGTTTCCTTATAGATATATCAGACTGCTCCAAGTTGGAGCTGCCACTGTATGTTTTAGGTTGGGATATATAGGAGGAGGGCCCAGCAGTGGTCAAACAAAAATGTGGCCCGCACCCCGTGCTAGTGAACAAAGTCTTGTAGCTTGAGAGTTCCAGCACAGCCGAGTTTGGTAGTAGACAGGTATAATCCCAGCATCCTGAGCGGCTGAGGCAAAGGACTGCAACTTCAAGCCCATCCTGGCAATTTAGTGAATTAGCGAGACTTTCTCAAAACAAACTAAAAACTATTTGTACAAGTACTTGTCAAAGGTACCCACCAAGAGCTTGTTGGGAGAATTAAATATTCTATATCATTTGACTATACCTTTCAAAAAGGGGGAACTGGGTTAAAAAAATAAATCTGAATAAAGGATATAAGGGAAGTGAGTTTGATCAGAGAGATAGGGAACATTTCTTCTAAGAGCTTCCTGCTGTGATAGACTTTTAGAACACAGACTAGAGAAGTTGGCTTGAGAAAGTTGCAAAGTGCTGAAAAAAATTTGCTGCCTCAACTGTGTTTTATATAGATGTAGAATATGAGACTGAGACAGAAAAGCAGGTGAAAATTTATTGCCAAACATATGGTTTGTCAGAAATATTGTACTGTTTAGTTTTGGGGTGTTTGTTTGTTTGATTTTGGTTTTTTGGTTTTTTTGAGACAGGACCTTGCCCTATAATCAGGCTGGCCTTGAACCCACCAGGTAGCACAGGCTGCCCTCTAATTTGCAGAGATCTTCCTGTCTCAGCCTCTGAGTGCTGAGTTTATGGCCATGGACCTCTTTGCCGGGTTCATATTTAGGTTTTGATAACTCAGCATAAATTTTTTAGAAACTAAGGATACCTGTCTCCATATAAATTCACTTTCCTAGCAGAATATAGTTGGATGTAGTTGGTATCCATACTCCCAGCACTCAGAAGGCTGAGGCAGGATAAGGAGATCTTTCAAAAGACAAAACAGAACAAAACTTCACTTTTCAAAAAAGGATTGGAATGGTAGAGATATAACTTCGTATACTGTAAAATACCATCTGGATGCAAATTGAGTGTAACAGGTGCTGGTACTGTTTTAAACATATCAAGACAATGTAAAACCGTTCAAGAGAATGACAGTATTACAGGGTATTTAGAATCAACTAACAGAAAATGAACAATGGTTTCTGTATAATCTCCCTGTCTATAAAATTTTTGTTTATATTATCACATATAATAAAATCCAATAATATACAACAGGTTAAAACCAATGGAGACAGAAGAGCAAAAGCTTGATGGGACTTCAAAACAAGAGGATATTAAATCAGCACTACCTATTATGATGTCTTGTTTTCTCCAAAATGGCTGTTCCTACCATCCAACCTTCTCTGCCTCATTTCTGTAGAGCTCTTTTTCTCTCATTAGTTGTGAGTTTGTCTTTGGCATTTCACTTTCTGCTCCATTCATTGTGGCCTCTCTGCAACTGTTTCTGGAATCTTGGTATTTTTCATTTTTAGAATATCCTGCAGTAATCTCTGTAGAGTTGAATTGGTGGTTGCAAATTCCCCTAGTTCCTCTTTATCCTGGAAGCACCTTGTTTTTCCATCAATTTCCAGGGACAGCTGTGCAGGATATATCAATCTTGGCTGGAGGTTATTATCTTTCAAAGCTTGAATTATTTCCCCCCACGCTCTTCGTGATTTGATGGTTTGTGCCGAGAAGTCTGCTGTAATTCTGACGGTGTTCCCTTGTAAGTGATCTGTTTCTTGTCTTTGACGGCTTTTAATATTCTGTTCTTATATTGGATTTCCGGAATTTTGATTATTATATGCCTGGGTGTAGCTCAGTATACGAAGTTATACCCAAAGATTTTAAGGAAAGAGACACTATGGTAAGTACTTTTATGTCGAGATTATCTTGTGGTGAAACACTATTTTGCTTAAATGGCTATGTTTTGCTTAAATGGCTATGTTTGCTATTTTGCTTAAATGGCTATGTTTAAATGGCGCTGTTTTGTTGTTGTGCCCTCTTTTTTATCTCAGTCTCCTTTTCATTATCTACTTTTTCATTTTTATCCTTTTAATTAAGGGAAAATAAATAAAAAATAGCAGGATATATTATAGTAACCCACGTTGATTTCCTATTAACTTGATTTGAAACCCTGTATTGCTCTCACCATCTTGTTTTGACTGATTTTCCTCTGTTCTGCTTTGCTTGATAGTACCAAGTTTGAAAGAATAGACAACAACTATGAAGACAATAAGATTCATTATGATGTCCATTCTGGTTGACTATTATCTCCTTTTGAAGTCCTCTAATGTCTCCAATGTTTTGGTTTTATTGGTCTTGTTCTTTACTGTTTTGTTCAATTTTATTATAACTGATGATATAGGCAATTCTTTTTAAGATAGCAAGAGGCATTATGGTAACCATTGTTGATCAGCTTGTATTTTGTTTTTACATTATGTATTATGTCCATCCTTTTGATTTGACTGACTCTGTCCTGTTATGTCACATTTGGTTTTACTTTCTTCAAAAAAAAAAAATTAATAAGAACTGTGGGAGAAATAAAACCCAAAATGTGTAATTGTCATTGTACAAAAGCAAGGAAAAGAAAGTGCTCTAAAGGATATAACTGCATATATATTTAAGTGTATAAGATAGATAACCATATTGCTGAGTTTTGTTGGATCATTGAACAAAACTGTTTGCAGTCCTATATGCTTTAATTTTGTAACTTGAGCAACTATTTCTAAGATGACAATATGTAGCTAACTAGTGATTTCCTACTGTTCATTTTTTCTGAAATTCTGTATAACTTGTACCTTTTTTCTGTTTTTTTTCTTTTTTCTCCTTAAATAAAATTTAAAACACACACACACTCGAGTACAAAACAAGTAAAGATTGTCTGTATTTCCCATTAACTAAATGGAATATGTGCCCTAAACAACATATATGAGACAGATTAAAAAGATAGTGTAAATACTACTTTCCCAAGTAATGGCAAATAACCTATAAGCACCTGCAATTTTAACCAGCCCCTAAGTGATTTTGTGTGATACTAGGGCTTGAACCTTGAACTTAGAACCTCACTTTCTATCACTGGGCTACATCCTCAGGTCCCCAAGTGATTCTGAATCATACTAAACCCCAAGAACAATAACAGTAGGTTCTCAGTAAGTGCTTGTTAGATTGAATATAAATGTTTTATAAAGCAAGCTGAATGCTTGAATTTACTTGCTGCCCCAGGTCTGTGTGTTAGCAAAACAAATATTTGAAGGATTTTACAAGTATTTTTTAAAAGAATATTTGTGGTTATTTTCTTCCTCAGAATATGGAATCTGAAAATGCAAAGACTGGAACTATGGAAATTGAGAGTATTTCTTCAATTTCTGCTTTGCAAGCCCTCTCTAATCTGCTTTATCCTGAAGAAGAGGATGATTTTGACTCTGAACAGGTGGTCATAAACTTACAGATGGATTAGTTCTCTTCATCAAAATTGTAGAACTGTATTTAAACAACTTGTTCCCACCTTGCTGTGTCATTTGATATATTTACAGGAGGTTGCAAGGTTGATTATGCATGAGAGTATAACCTCTAGTGCATCTCTGGCAAGCATAATTATATTTTTTTCTAAACCACCTGAACACTGAATAGGAAAATAGTTCTGTAACTATGGTAGCAATAGCCACATTTCAAAATGTTTGTCATTTATATTTATGGTCAAAGAATACTTGACAACCATTGCAAAGAGTGGTATCTAGGACTGTTTATGCTAGACAATATTTCTATAAAACAAATATTTTCAATTATGAAGCACTAATGGAACCTTAAGTACCAGTCTCTTAATTTTTAAAAATTTATCTACACATGAAAACAGAACAGAAGTATTTTGAGCTGAATAATAAAGCAAATTAGCTTCATATTACTAAAATTGGCTTCCGGAATAATCAAAATATTTTCATGTAACTCCCTATTCTTCATCTTTAAACATCACTGAATGTTGACTATCACATTGCTTATTATAAGATAAATTTTGGGGCAGAAATATCATTCTATAACATATCAATTTCTACTAAATTATTTAATGAAGTTTTTAACTACTATGACCATGAATAAACTGTTTTATAAGAACATATATAATCGGTGGATTCCTCCTCAAATTATTTTTGGCTATAATCTCAAAAAGCAAGTATATTTCTAAATAGTCTTCATAATTCAGTGACTCAGATCAATACTGGATTGAGATTCTACCCTCCAGGAAGAGATTTTCTGAAAAGGGCAGAATTAAACAAAACAGGAGATGAAAATATAATTCATAGAAAGGGGAACCAGATCAATGTGGAGCCAGGATCAAGAACCAGGAAGTGTTGCCAGGAAAAAGTTTCAGTATGGCCAAAGAAAAATCAGAATATTAATAATAACATTGAAAAAATGTATATGTACATATACGGACAAAGGAGAAAAAGTTGGAAACAATGTATTAATAAAGTTGGGAAGCTATTCATAGTTGCTACCTCAGATGAAATAGCAGAGCCACAACTTTGAGAACTCTAAATTCTGGAAAAGATAGGATTGTGCCATACATTAAAAATATATTAAGTATTTGAAAGACAGTCAACCTGAAGATGGTGAGGTGAAACTTGTAATTGAACAGATTCAAAAATAAGGATTTACCCTGGTTACAAAGTCTGTCCTCCTTGATGTTTATGTCTATAGATGTTTATTCATATCTAGATGTGGTTTAGGAATAAAGATGAATGTGTATGAAAGTAGAGAGATTGTAACATCATGTTACAAAATTATACAGTATATTAAAAATTGTCATAATAATATATGATTCTGTGTGTCTGTGTTATAAGCAATTGTTTTCTTTTGAAAGGATTATAAGCAATTTTGAGATAATTGGCCATTCAGACACCATAGTACAATTTTATTACAGTATGGAATGAGAGTATAAGAATAGAGAGAGAATAATTAATGCTTCTATTGAAGTATTAAATTTTCCATGAGAGAAACTGCTTTTCATTTTTTAATATGGAAAACTGTGGAATGATTACAGGAGTGGTGTGCTTTTGAAAATAGACTGTCTGTAAACATAAAGAGAACTGCTGTACACACATTGGTTCATTTATACTATCCTTCTTCTAAATTACTTGTTAAGAATCTGGGAGGCTGGTAAAGATTACATTGTTTTTCAAATTCCTGAGGGAATGTTAAGGGCTTTGGGAAGTAAGATTCACAATTCTCAGACGTTGTGACAAGGATGTTCAAACTCTCTTACAAATTGCAAAGTGGCATAAATTGCAATGATAAATTGCTCAGATAATTGGCTGTAGATTTGTGATGAAGATTCAAATGATATCCTTATAGAAAAAAATTGCCTGATGGTTTTTAATGTTTTTATTATCTCATTCCATCATTTCTATTGAAAATTTTATTTTCAATTGTTTATTTTCATTAAGTTAGTTAATCAAAACTCCCCATTGTTCTGATACACTGATCCAATCATCACTGTCCATGGAGAACATGCCAGTTTTTGTCAGAATAGTTCAAGATTTTATTTCTATTGATTTTAATTTTCTGTGGAAGGAAGCACTCAACAAAACAAAAGATGCTCATGTTCCAAGAAATGGTTTGCCCTGATCCATTATTGGTATTATGATTAATAAATTTTAAAATGTACTACATATTTATATGACTTTAGTGATTTAAAAGGGAGAAAAAGTGTCCAGAATACTGTTTTGGGATTTGCACATAAAAATTCCCGTAATGCCTTAACTGAAAACATAGAGCTTTTGAATCTCCTTTTTTGAAAAGGAATCGTTACATTCTCAAACACTGTTGAAATATTATAGATTTCTGATTTATAACTGTTGGAATAGCTTAGCATAATAAAGACTCATGAACTTTCCCATCATCTTTCAAGGACAGACACTACTTCTTTTGCCTAAATAGGACATTGTAACTTTTGTACATGTTTTAAACCTTAGGAGATGTGGACACATGTCAAACAAATGACAGATAAAAATGCTAGCTTGCCAGAATCAAAAGAGTTAAGAACTTTTTTGGTTGCTGGCAGTGGAGTGAATTGGAACTTCAGAGTCTGATGTCAGTGAGAACAATAAGTAAGAAATTAGAATTTTCATAAAATACTAAGAAATCCCTAAGAGGGACCAACGAAGTAATTGCCACAATATTAATGATGTAATATATGTTATATTTAGTTGAAAAATGAATATTGTTTATGTATGTTGAGTTGGGGCTAGTCTTATAGTCATGTTTAGGCACGTACAGACAATGGAAAATATGTATTATGTGAAGAATGATGTTGTTCATTGTGTAACTGACACTATTACTTTCAGGTTGGTGTATAAATTCACTAAGTGTCATGAGGCAGTGGAATGGGAAAACGCTGCATTTCCATAGTGGAAAGAAATAAAAGCAATTATCAGGGCTTTCAAATGCATATTTTGAAATTTGAATACTTAGCCTTAGCCTTGTTAGGTCTTTATTTTATAAAAGTTTCCCATACTTCTACCCTCCCCATCTAATTACTGACACTGCCAAAATACAAAATCATTAGCATTTTTCTACTAAAACTTCGTTCTAACCTTCATAGAGATGAATGTGTCCCATTCTTTTATCCCCAGGGATACATGATTCACTGAGCTGGAACTGGGGATTTGGTCTGACCAAAAATCAATTCTGCCCCAGAGTCTATTAAACTGAAAACTTTTTGAAAGGACAAGGCAAACACATTCAAAATAATACTTGGAATCTGTCTCTCTGCCTATATAACAACAATGAGTAAACCAGAAAGCTCTATCAGATTTTAAGATGGAAAACTAAATAGATTTAAAGTGCTATTAATCACATAATTCTATAAGTGGTAGTTACAGAATGTTGGACTTTATTGTATCTTCTCCAGTCAAATTGTTCATCTGCTATTGGAGCCATAGATCCTGGCAATATTGGACCACCAAAAACAGAAGAGCTAAAAGGCAAGTTATTTAATGTATCAGTATAGAGCAATAGAAACAATGCATTTTCCTTGGTAACAAAATTATAGGGAGAGTAATACTAAAATTAGTATTTATTAAGACGTTTTTTATTAAATATAGTTACAATTGATAGGGTAAATTTAAGTGTACTCATCACAAATAAATGATAAATATGTGAAGGAGTGCATATAAGTCAATTGGCTAGGTTTTGCTTTTCTACGATATATACAAATTTCAACATCATGTGGTATAAAATGCATATATAAAATTTTTGCCAAATAAAAATTATTTTGAAAATGAAAAAAGTGATGAACTAAAATCATGAAAATGAATAGTAATTTATTTATAAAAGTGCTTTTACTCTACTGCTTTCAAGGAAATAATTCTAAAAATAAAAATGAGTTAACTTCAAATTATCCACGTTCCTTGGTCTATTTCCTAAGATAAAAGACATGTGTAAGTAGACAACATTTTTTAATCTATCAGAATACTTATTTCTTCACATTCTACTTTCATATGTTCTGGTGATTTCATAAAATTAATTCATTAATGCACTAAACATAGTTATTGAAAACCTACTGGGTAACACACAGTGTGATTATCCCTCAGACTACATTGGCGATCAAAATAGTCTCTGCTATGATTGAGCCACAGACTTTTAAACAAGACAATGAAACAAATCACTGCATGATTCTATCTTATGATGAAATGTTTTTAAATTAAAGTAGATGGTATTATCTTTAAAAATCACATGTTTAGGGACTTGAGATGTGGTTCAGTGGTACAACACTTTCCCTAGAATATTAGAGGTCTTAGTTCAATCCCCAACTCCACCCCCACCCAAAAATGAAATAAAACAAACAAAAAAATCTACACGTCCAAAAAACCTGAAATAAATAAAATTATTAGTGTTTCCTAGCATTTTGTCCTACAGATTTTTAGAGCTGAACACTTTACAAACCTTTAAAAATATAGAAGATTTCAATTTTGTTAATCATGATCACAGTTACTAGAAAATGGGCAGGAAAGGAAGTGAATTTTGCCCATTTTTGCTAATTGTAAAAGATTAGCTGGGAAAAATGTTGAAAATAATGTCTAAAATGAGGTCTGAGGGTGGTTCTAAATTTTCAGTTATTATTGTGGCACATGCACATGAGGCTATTTGTCTTGTGGGAGAGATATTCACTATATGGTACATTGGTTCAGATTTGGATGTATTTCTATGCTGATCATAGTTCCCATAATGTAGCACTAATAATCACTGAATTTTGAAAGTAATGAGTTACATATAAGATGCTAGATATAAATTTGTACTTATGCTTTGGAAAGCCCATGCTAGATACAAACAGATAATTTAAAAAGAATTAGCAGAATTGAAAACCTGACAATCAGGCGCATTTCTGGGAATACTTGAAAGGACTCAATGTTCTGCACCTAATGCAGGTCTCCATTTGATGCCACAATAGAACAAATTCAAGCTCGGTTTTTGCATGCCTAATGGAAACTGTCTGCTTTTAAACAATTAAAGATCACTATAGAAATCTAAGCACCCGCTTGATACTGTATAAAGAACAAGTGATAGAGATTTTCTTTAAGGTTTATGTGTACATGAGAAAGATATTGAATTTAAAAATAATCATTATATCCGGTGCTTTTACTTTTTATTCATATTATCTTTTAAAAATATGTTGTGCTTGCAAAGAAAAGTGATAAAAGGGTTTTTATATAGTTAAGCAAAATACAAGATAACATATTCCTATCCAAATGAGATAGTGACTTTTTCTTCTATACAAAAATATTTTGCACATAATCCTATTATGTTTCTTAAAATTGTATAATGTTTCTTTGCATATTTGCCTATATAATTATATCTATGCGTTATGTATATAGAGAGACAGAGACTTGAAAGTGGAAGGAGAGAGAGAGAGAGAGAAGAGAAAAAGAATAGAAAGATAAACATCACCAGAATGCCAAAATTGATTATTTCCAGGCAACTGGATTATATAATATCTTATTGTCATCTTTTTATTTATGTATTTTATCAATTATTATTACAATTCTACAATGTACTGGTCTGTATTGATAATATAAATCAGTTATTATAATGCAGTCTTGTTTGGACCGAACAACCAAGCTAGTGATTACAAATAGAGCACGTTTTATTTCAAGTATTCCAAAATGGTATAATGAATATGAACCATTTAGTGGAAGAAACAAATCAACAGCTTCAGCTTGCTGTTCTTCTTTTTAGTCATCCCTCAAACCAGTGAAAAAAATAATGAGGACATCTGGAATCCAGAAGAGGTTCCAGAAGGAGCAGAGTATGATGATGTGTGGGATGTTCGAGAAATTCCAGAGTAAGTCAAACAAAGCCAAGAATGTGTTTAAGGAGTTTAAGTTAGATGTATCATCTGATATTCTATTTTTGACAAGATTTATAAAGTAACATACCACACAGAATATAAAATCACGGTGACACATACAAGTGGGTATAATAGTGATTTTCCCCTTCTAGAGTAGAAGCAAATAATAAAACACAACACTTTCCTTTTAGTACTTACCTACTAAAAATGAAAAAAATATACAGTAATCATTTCCACTATATATTTATACTGTCTATTGTCTATTTTGGAACAGTAGGTGAAAAACATCTCACCAAGTTGCAAGAATTAATAGAAACCAAATTATAATACTATGTTTATGTGTCAAAGATTGGCTTTTAATTATTCAGTGTTCTGTAATTTCAGTAAAAGGCTATGTCCTTCCTCCATTTATCAATTATTACTCAGATTTACTTATTAGATATTTCAAGACTATGCTTAGTATGCAGTATATTTTTCAAGTACGATTTGAGTTTTATTTTGAATTTTTTCAAAATTATTATGTCATAAATATAAAATTTAGAATTATAACAAAAATTACTTTTCATTCTGACTTTGAAAATGTCTGTTACATTTTAAGATTTAAAGTATAATTATGATACATCGATGAAATTAATGGGTAAGCTGTTTTAAATATATTTAATTTAAAATCATGATTATTTAGAATAACTAGAACAACAAAATCAGTATTTACTAAATACAAACTATTTTATGATATGTAACTTGGTATCTTTTTTAACCCTGACTACAAAACTGCCTAATACTTTGACAAAACTCCTATGCTTTCTATCTCCTGTATGAGTTGTGAAAATAGAAATAGTGGGAGACTGCAGATAATTGACTAAAAATAAGTATCTAGCTTTCAAATAAACAACAGCAAAAAAGTGTAAACTAAAAAAGTCAAAGGAGATTTTAAAACATTTCTGTCTGTTTTAAGAATAAATAAATTAAATCTCAGATTATGTTTATGTGTTGCCCATACATCCATATGAAAGGTAAGGAGTAAGCCAGTCAATAAATCTCACATATCCACATGCTACAAACTCCACATTTGAGTAAATTTTCATTTTTCATTCTGATGTTTTATGTCATCTAAAGAAAATATCTACAAAAGTTTTAAATGAATACTAACTCCAGTCAAGACATAAAAAATTGCTTTATAAAATTTTTAACTGTTTTTTCTTTAGGAAAATACATTTCAAAAAATATCCAAATGGGTAAAGAGGAAAATGAGTAAAGGCCATAGCAGGCAGTTCACAAAATAAGAATTGCAATTGTCTATATAAAAGATAATAAGAGCCTCAACTAAAGCACTAGCCTTGCAGTGAAGTATGAGGGTCATTACTGAGAATTTGAAGGAAGATTTAGTATTAGATTAAATACAATGGATGAGAAGAAAGTGGCAAAGATGCTGAGATTTCTAGCTTAAGTGACTGAGTAAATTGTGATAGCCTTAACTGTGACAGGGAATATAGGTGGTTGGAGAAGTACTGAGTTTGGTTCTGTATACACAGACTCTGGGGTACCTTTGGGACATCAAGGCAAACCTATACAGAAATAGTTACCTATTTCTGGTCTTACTTAAACTCCAAGACATTCCAGGAAGATAGTTTATTGAACTAATAAATCTATAGCATGATTCTAAACACATAGGTAGCTGTGCTGACTACATTACCAGTGTTTCTATTATACAGTTTTCTTAGAGATCATTTAGTTGAAACCCATGCACACCTCCCATAAATCATACAAATGTAGAATCCAAGACTTATGAGTGAATGAGTTTACCAAAGCCATATACTTAAATGATAAGACAGTACTAAATTTTGAATTTCTTTCTTTCTTCTTTCCAGTACTTAGAATTGTACCCAGGGTCTCACAGATGTTATGTAAGCACTGTACCACACACTGAGAGACATTGTCAGGCATTTAATCTGGATTTTCTAAATCTGTGATTCAAAGTTAGCAGAGAAGGATTTCAATATATCCATCTAACCCTGTTTTTTGGACCCAGTAATTTTCTATCTACTGCATTCTACTTTTAATCTTATTAGAAGTCCCTTCAATCCATTTTAATTGTATAAAACAGTTAAACTATTTGTATAAAAGTTAAACTTTATTTTACAAAATAAGTACAAAATGAATATCCTGCTTTTCAATGTTTTTATTACATTTCTAAAGTTTTATTCTTTTATGTTGTATTACATGTCTGAAAAATAGTCAGTACTTTATTTTGTCCTTTAAATTTTTTAATAGCATTTACTCATGCATTTCTAGTTTTTGTTCTGTGATAGGAAATTGCTTCTTCAATAGAGTCTATTCTCACTGACTTTTTTCAGGTATGAGATTATATTTAAACAGCAGGTAGGAACAGAGGATGTATACCTAGGATTGACAAGAAAGGACTCTTCAACAGCATGTTGTCAGGAGCTAGTGGTAAGCCTTTTTTCTCCATTTTTGCATGATTATCATACCTATATTGATTGACTGCTATATATATATATACATGATAGTGAAGGCAAGGCTGTAAACTCTTCATAAATAGTGGTTGCTATGTTTTAGGTCTTAGGGGAATAACAGGACAGTTTAAAATAATAACACATAGGAAAATCAACTACATTTACACATTTGATGAGATTTACAAATAAGCATAATAAAATCATATGAGACAATATATGATTTCTAATCTGATTAAAACTATCTAATCTGATTGACCTGAAACTCTTTTATTCTAGCTTTTTAGCATGCATGCTATACTATTTATTACCTTCTGATGAACTGATAGACAATCAGAATTTTAAAAATTTCCTTCTCTCAATCATCTTCTTGCTTATCTATGTATTTCTTGTAATGACTCAGTTTGCAATTAGGGATTTTAAATACTACTTTCTTCTTAAGTTTTGGATCTGAACATCCGATTTAAACTACTAAGAAGATGTTTAAAATGTTGCTTGGCTCCCTTACTTGAATGTACTGCATTGAGGAGCATCCTTTGCCAGATCAATGTTTCTATATAATAATAGCAATATTAACAGTATCGATGACACTGCCTTACTACTGCAACTTTGACCCTCATAATGATCTTGTTAAAAAGTCTGGGCCAAACCCAAAGTGTAGAATTCAATATATTTTGGTAACATACACAAGTAACTGATTCTAAAAGTTTATTTTTTGAAATCTGGAGCTGTGATTCTTTTTTTTTTTTTCTCTCTTACATGATAGAATTCAGAGGTACCCATAGCAGTGCTTCATATTTTTTCTTAAGAAAACGTTAAATGAAACTTCTCTTTAGCATGAACTTCAATTTTTCTCTTATTAGCAAAATCTAAGACATTCAATTGAATCAAGTAACATAATGAGAATAGTGACTTTAAGCACCTCAGGAGATTTTTAAAACTCTAATGAGTTAAGATTTCAAATGATCTTGATGTAATTAGCTCCCAGGGTTTTACCAGTAATATTCAAACTTCTCTCTCTTAAATTACTATAAAATTATGTATTTGATGTCTACTACTGGGGATTGCTGTAAGCTCTGGGTAAATTCCAGGCTCTAGATAAATGAACATTATTGTGGCCTTTCTAGTTGTGTGATGCAAATTGCCACTAGTTTTAGTTTTAAAAAGTATACTAAATAAAGAATCTTGGAAACTAAATAACTCCTCATAATAGGATTATACAGTTTATTTCAGGCTCGAGTTTATACAGAAGACTTGCTTCTTTCCTCTAATGAATTTATGATTGGCCACAAGATAAGGCTAACATAAATGAATTAATTTTATTATTAGCAGTTAAATTCAATGTAGGTAATTATGAATCCATTATTAGGAGTTCGAAAGTTTTGGATACAGCATGGGCACTACTCAAGGGCAGCATCAAATGAAACATTTTCTAGGATTACTGTACCTTACTTCTTATATACTATTCTTTTTTCTCTTGCTTTACTTTCTTTCTCTTTCATTCTTCATTTATTCAGTCTTTAAATACAGTACTTAATGAATGTTACCACCTACCAACCACTGAATACTTAGTCCTAAATATTAAGATACGAAGAAAAATAAGAAACAATAAATTGTCCCCAGGAAATTTACAACAAACAAGGTAAGATACAGTATTGCAGTCAGCATGGCAAGTTCATAAAAAGAGACATGTACCACATACATGGTGATATAAAGCAGAGAGCAATCAACTAAATGTGGATAGATAAGCTTTTCACAGTAGACAACATTCTAAGCCAGGAATTCTAGCTAGAGGTAAGAGAATATGGAAATTTACCCAGACATGAAATAGCATGATATTTGAATAAGCAACGAATATAACAAAGAACAAAAATAAGTATGGCCAGTGGTATAGTGGCAACTTGACTTGAAAAGTAAATTTTCTTTCTTTAAAAGCACTATTTTTTGTTGAGGGTATGAAGCACATTCACCAAGTATATACAAGGCCAACATTTGAACCCCAGTATTGTGAAAAAGAATAAAAGACTTAGAATAAGAAAAAGTGTGGACCATCTCCAGCATTTTTTGCTTAAATTTATGCTTCTTATTCTTATTGATAACATAATGTTTCCTTGAATCTAAGACATCATTAAATTATAAATATATCCATAATTTAGTAACAATGCTTTGTGGAAAATGTAAATGCACTACTACATTAAATATGTACATTGATTTTGTGATGTATCCAAACATCAGAAACATTAAAATGTGAGGAAAACTGTATCTTAGAATTGGTTAAATATATTATTTGGATCTTAGAACTTCTCTGTATGTAATATTTCATTCCAGACACTTTCAGAAAGAAATCCTTGCTTAAACTCTTACTTCAAATGAGGTAAAAAAATAATAGTACAATTTGTTTAAGTATGAGGACTTATTTAGTTTTAAAAATTCAAAAGGACCACTGTGTTTTCTTTACCCTTCCTGGATTCCAAATAAGAATGTGAGATTTATTAATCCCAAATCAAGTAAAGGTGCTAAACAAAATCTAAATTAAAAATGTATTGTTTTTCTAACACCAAATCTAAAAACTTTCATATTTAAATTCTGCTTGTCCTATTATTATTCTCTGCTGCTTTGCTCCCGGGTTGATAGCTATCAAGTATCATCATGTTATAATTTTTAGATTAAAAATACTTATTTTATACATAGGTATTTCAGAGCTGGAGCTAAACCTGGTTTGCAGACTTTTTTTTCTTTTTGCTGCTAAGTCTTTTATTCAAATATAATTTTATGAGATAGCCCAGTACATAAAACACAGAAAACCACCATTTCTTCGGTTAAAAAGGTACTAGTTGTCTAAAATGGAAGAATACTAATTTAGTCTCTCCTTTTTATATTGCAGTTTAGAGACTAAAGACATGTTTACAAGGTATCGAATAGTAGTGTAAATAAATGGAAGAATAATAGGCTTAGAGGGTCTTTTTGTAGGTGACATATTTACCTCATAAAACACATCTGCTTTGTTTTATTTTATTATCCTTTTCATTCTTTATCTATCTATATTCTCCATCTTTTCTTACAAAGATCCCACTGTTAAGAAAATGACAGCTATTCCTTGGACAGAGAACTGATATTTAAAATGCAAAAGAACTCAAAAAATTAGACCACTTAAAATAAAAGATCCAATTAAGAAATGGGCAAGTAAAATGAGCAGACATTTTTCAGAGGAAGAAATGCAAATAACCAACAAATTTATGAAAAAATGTTCAACATCCCTGGTCATTAGAGAAATGCAAATTTTTAAAAATGCTAGAAAGAATGACAATCAACAGGTCAAAAATAACAAGTGCTGACATGGCTATGGTAAGAAAAGAACCCACCTACACTGTTAGTGGGAATGTAAACTAGTACAATCATTACTGAAATCACATGGAAACTCATCCAGAAACTAGAATTAGAAATTCCATATGAGCCATCTATCTCCCTTCGATATAACTTCCCCAAAGATCTAAAGACATTGTACTATAGTGACACATGCATACCAATATCTATAGGAGCACAATTAATAAAGCTTAATCCTGGAAGCATCCTGTATATCCATCAACAGATGATTAAAGAAAATATGTTATTTATAAATAGTGAGATATTACATAGCTATAAAGAAGGACAAATTTGAGACATTTGTAGGAAAATAGATGCACCTGGAAAATATAATGCTGAGTGAAATAAATCAAATGCAGAAGCTTAAACATCATATAGTATCTCTCATTTGACTATGGCAAAATACAAACAAAGAGCACAATAAAGGATGGATAGGAGGTGATAAGGAGATAGATCTCTTGGAAATGGAAAGGGGTCCAAGAGAACGTGGGTAAAAGGAGAAGGGGGAGGAGAAAGGGAAATGAGTAAATAGAAATATGACATATACAGGAACCTAATAACTTCAATGAATATAAACATTATATGTCATAAACATTAGATAAAATTAGAAATATCAATGTGAGCAAAATGAGGAAAGAAGACTTAGAGGATAAGGGAGGAAGACAAGAGGGAAAGGGATTTAAAAGAAGAGCAAACTGTGTTATGTATATGAACTCACTTGCCAAGATGATTATAAAATATCTATACTGCAAACATATACTAATAAAAGATAACATTTGTAAATAAATGAAAAATCAAGTTTTCCAACAAAAAGCTTAATATACATCCTTTATTATATATCTTTGAATACATATGCATCACTGTTTGCTATTATTATGCACTTACTATGTATAATACGAACCAGACACTGGATACACATTGTTGAACAAAGTAGGTAAGATTCTCCTTTTTTCAAGGCAAAACTGTTTACTGTCAAAACATCAAGCAGTCTTGGAGCGATAGTGTAGCTGGAGCTACTGGGTGGTCTTTGCCAAACTTTAATAGATTCATCTAATAAGGAAACAGTGACTCCCACCTCCCAAAAGAAACAAATTTATTACTTAAACAGCATTAGCAAGATCCTGGTATCCCTTTGCCCACATGATCAAGACAAAGAGGTCAGATGGCAGCTAACATGAATCTGTTGCTCAAGAGCCAATTCTAGACTACAGCTAGTTATTTTATAGTAGTGAGTTGGAAAGCTCTGTACCCTACTAGAACAGGGAGTAGTGTGAGAAACTGTCTCATTGCTGTCTCTTGCAAGATAGGAGCCTTCCACACAGGCACAGAAGCAGATAAGAAACAGCATTGAGATAGCTGCTAAAAGATTTTTCCTATTTTTCTATGTTCTGGGAAGACCTCAAGCTGGTCTGCCAAGATCTGATTCATATTGTAGTTGAGCCTTGCCTATGTGGCACACGTGGATAGTGCAAGGTCACTAGAGTGTTATGGAGGGCTCTACATTTACATGGTATGAATAAACATTTTTGTCTTCATTGTTTTTACTTAACATATAATATGAAACAAATGATTTATATAATGCTTATACATGTTAGGCATTTCTCTAAGAACTTTATG